ATAAGAGAGAGGAGGTCGACATTGTATACCTAGAGTTCCAAAAGGCCTTTGATTTGGTATCCCACGATGTTCTCACAGGAAAATTGGAGGATTGCAGACTTAACTGCTCAACAGTTAGGTGGGTAGGAAGCTGGCTGCAGGATAGGACCCAGAGAGTTCTAATGAACAGATCTGTGGTATCCTGGTGAGAAATGGCCAGTGGTGTCCGTGCTTGGTCCAGAGCTTTTCAACATCATTATCAGTGATTTGGATAAGGGAGCGAAGAGCTCACTGGCCAAGTTCACAGATGACACCAAGTTATGTGGGAGCATGGTCACACTTGAAAATAGGCTGCAGATACAGGCGGACATAGACAGGCTGGCAAGTTGGGCAGATCAGAACCAAATGAAGCTCAACACTGAGAAATGTAAAGTGCTCCATCTGAGGATGAACAACCCCCAACATACTTACAGGTTCGGTGGCACCAAACAGACTAGCACCATTACTGAAAGGGACCTGGGAGTGATAATGGATCATAGTGTGGACATGAGCCGTCAGTGCAACGCTGTAGCCAGCCAGGCAAATAATACTCTGGCGTGCATCAACTGATGCTTCTCAAGCAAAACCAAAGAAGTGATTCTTCCACTTTACTCAGCATTGGTGACCTCAGCTGCAGTACTGCATCCAGTTCTGGGCACCACACTTCAACAAGCTTGAGAGAGTCCAGAGAAAAGCCACCCGTATAATCAGAGCCTTGCTAGGCAAGCCATATGAGGAAAGGCTGAGGGACTTGGGCCTCTTCCACCTAAAAAAGAGAAAGCTGAGAGGGGACTTGGTAACAGCTTACTGCTACATCAGGGGAATACATCAAGGGCTCGGCGAACAACTGTTCACCAGGGCACCCTTGGGGAAAACCAGGAGTAATGGCCACAAACTCCTGGAAGACCATTTCAGGCTTAACACTAGGAATAACTTCTTTACAGTTAGGGTGTCCAGACTGTGAAATAAATTCCCTCCAGAGGTGGTGCAATCACCTACCCTGGAAATCTTTAAGAGGAGATTGGATGGTCACCTTGCTGAGGTCACCTGACCCATTGTCTTTCTTGCCTAGTCCAAGGGGGCTGCACCCAGTGATCTTGCGAGGTCCCTTCCAGCCCCTAACAATCTATGAATCTATAAAAATGGAAAAGAAAAGTGGAGCTCAGGTATGGGACTGAAGAGGAAGGAAAAATGCATTCATTGTAGCAGCTCACCATGACTTGGAAAAAGACTAGTGTTGAGGGGGACTACATGTAGTGAGCAGTAATATATATCTTATTCAGATGGGCTGAACTGACATATCCTGATGGAGGCTTCCATCAGAGAGCACCCAAGAGTGCTGAAAGAATTGGCCAATGTCATTGCACGACCCATGGCAAAACTGTTTGAAAACTTGTGGTGCTTGGGAGAGGTTCCAGAAAACTGGAAGAGGGCCATTGTGGTGCCTATCCACAAGAAGAGGAGGAAGGAGTATCCAAGGAATTACAGGCCAATCAGTTTGACCTCAATCCCCAGAAAAATCTTGGAAAAATGATCAAAGAATCCATTACGAATAGGTTAATGGAAGGCAACATTCTAATAGCCAACATGGCTTTATTGTGGGCAGGTCATGCCTGATCAACCTCATTTCCTTCTATGATCCAGTAACATGCTGCCTGGATAAGGGCAAGAAGTTAACATCATATACTTGGACTTCAAAAAAGCCTTTGAGTTGGTCTCCTACAATGTGCCGATGGTAAAATTGGAGAACCGCAGCCTCGATAACCCAACAGTCTGGTGGCTAGGGAACTGGCTCTGAGGCAGGACCCAGAGAGTAATAAGAGATAGAACTGAGTCAACATGGCACTTGGTGACCAGTGGCGTCCCTCAGGGTTCAGTACTCGGACCAGTACTTTTTAACATATTCATTAATGATTTGAACTTGGGTGTTAAAAGTGGACTGGCAAAGTTTGCAGATGACACCAAATTATGGGGGACTGTGGTTATGCTGAAGGATAGGCTGGGGATACAGGCTGACCTGGAGAAGCTTGGAAGGTGGGCGGATCGAAACCTGATGATGCTCAACACTGAGAAGTGTAAGGTGCTTCATGGGGAGAAACACCCCACAACATGCTTACAGGCTCAGCAGTGCTACACTTACTAGCACAACAAGCGAAAGAGACCTGGGGGTCTTGATCATACAATGAACATAAGCCACCAATGTGATGCTGTAGCTGGCAAAGCAAACAAAACACTGGCATGCATCTACTGATGCATCTCAAACACTACTAAAGAGATCATCCTTCTGCTTTATTCGGCCTTGGTGGCACTGCAGCTAGAGTACTACATCCAGTCCAGGGCACCACACTTCAGGAAAGATGTAGAGAAGCTTGAGAAGAGTCCAAAGCAGGGCTACGCATATGTTTAGAGGTATGGAAAACAGGCCATATGATGAGAGGATGAGACATGGGTCTCTTCAGCCTGGAAAAGAGAAGACTCAAAGGGGACTTGGTGACAACCTTTCATTATATAAAGGGTGCATATCAGGGACTGGGAGAACATCTGTTCACCAGGGCTCCCCAGGGGAAGACTAGGACTAGCGGTCATAAATTGCTAGAAGACTGCTTTAAATTAGAAATAAGGAAAAACTTCGTTACAACTCAAGTGTACAGGGTCTGGAATAGACTCCCCCCAGAAGTGTTACAATAACCTACTCTGGATATCTTTAAAAAACATCTGGATGCTCACATTTTTCCTGCCCAAGTACAAGGGGACTGGGCCTGATGACCTTGAGAGGTCCCTTCCAACCCCTAACACCTATGAATCAGCATTTTTGGCACCAGGGGAGGTTGTGCTTGCTCTGGCCCCTCTGAGTGTTGGCCTGGCATTGCAGTACTTCCAGGCCTGGTGCTTGTATTTTTTTAAGGGCCACAGAAAACCCCAAATGGTTACCATCAATATGCTTGCCTTATTGCTTTGCACTTTATGGTCATGTTCATTGTTGGCTGCATATAATCTACTGGATAGTTGATTTCCATTGTGCATATGCTGCTTTATGCAGTAGTTTAATGATAAGCAAGGTATTTAATGAGTTTCCTTGTATGCAGTTATAAGATGAGAGTCTTTTTTCCCCTATGCTGATTTGGGGGGGGACTTCATCTTGTATTCAATGTGATAAATAATACCTACTTTTCAGTTCAGGTTTCCAGAAAGAAACAAAATGACCAAAATATTGATAAATATGAAATATTATAACGTGTGTGTGTGTGTGTGTGTGTGTGTGTGTGTGTGTGTGTATGTACGCATATGTATATAAATCTGTGCCAAAACATCTGAGTTGGAGGAACATATCAAAATGATGCTTGGGTAGTCATTGCTCACTTGCTTTCCTTAAAAATCATTTTTTTTCCCTTGCTAGACAGTCTGTTCATTTCTAGGGCTCTTGTAACAGCAGCTAAGGTTGATGGTAGATTCTGTTATAGACCTCCTCAATTTATGATTATTCATCTTCATTATTTAAATTCCCTGAGGGAAGTGTTTGTTCTCCCCCCTTTAAATAAATGTTTTTTGGCTAGCTTTTTAACTCAGTTTTGAAATATAATAATTATTTCAAATTTTGAAAATCCTGAGGGGATCAGGCTGGATTACACAGAAACAAGAACTAAACTCTGGACCTTGCCTTTGAGGATGTGATTTCCCTGCAGGCTGCAGAAGAGGATACACAAAGGCACTCCCTGTGGGTTTAGGAAACAGATAATAGCTTGCAAAATCATGTGTTTATATGAGCTATGTTGTTTTTTAATTTGGCCATGAGTGTTGTAATGGAAACGTCAAGGAAGGACAATGTAAGGTTAAGCTCAGATAGCAAGTAGTCAATGCCAGCAAGCGTAGCTAAACATGGAAATAGAAGAAACAGAAGGCAGGTGTTAGAACCACATAATGATTTTTCACACCCACTTGTCTGATGTTTCCACAGTTGTAGCAGGCTTTAGAAGAATAAGGTAGCAAAATGCCACCAACTCGGTGTGTCTACATGTGTGCTTTACTGCACTGGCTAATTAGCTCTTCAGTAAAGCGTCAGTGTCTACCTGTATTAGAGCACAGTAAATTAATTAACTCCACCATAAGATAGTATTGTCAGGGACAATACTGTCTTATCGCAGAGTAATTAAGTGCATTGAAACACATGTGTAGATGGTGATTGGGGCTGGCTGGGGCACAAGGTGATAAATTGCGGGGACTGCCTGCTACATGGCTGCACACTTCAGCGCTCATGCCTCAGCCAGCTTCTCCACTGCCACCAACTGGGGCCTGGGGCTGACCCGCCAAACCTGCTGCCAGCCCAGGCTTGTCTGATAACATGTCATCTGGAATGTAATTCTTTTACAAATTAAAATAGTTTATGGAACTCTGGTCCTTCTGGGGTATGATACACAACTGTTTACTAATGTTAGACAACCTTATGCGATTTAGGAAGGAGGTGAAGAATAACATCTTTGTAATTGAATTTGCAGGATGGAATGTGAGGAGTGGTATAATTACCTTCACTGGAATTTGACCAAGATATCAAGGCCACCAGGTTTAATCTAGACATAAAATATACACATTCAATAGCATTCCTCCATCTAATGTTGTTTTTGAGCAAAGGTTCTGTATAAACTCAGAAGGAATAGGATCATCTGTGAATCAGATACTATTTTCTATATTCCCTCAATTTTTTCATGACACTCTCCCCTCCACCTAAGGCAAGGCTTACTCCTGTTTAACGCATGAGAGCTGAAAAGATTGCATACTCAAGTGATCTTGACTGCATATGAAACAGCTATGGAAAGAGTAATCTTTTTGTTTTTTGTAGCATCTTGCAACAGCATTTAGCTCTAATAGAAGTTTGTCATTATTAAGTCTTCAAAAATTACACGATAGCCTCAACTTGTAGAACACAATTAAATTGATTTTCTTGGCTCTTGTTTATTTGCAAATATCAACACTATTGATATTTTCAGAATATGGCGGCCTGGGCTTGGACTTTTCCTATAGTACTGCAATGGCAGAAGAACTGGGAAATATTCATTGTGGAGGGGTTCCTATGGCTATTGGAGTGCACACTGACATGGCTACGCCTGCTCTAACAAGGTAAGTTTCAGAAAAAATATTCATTTTCTACCTTTTGATAGGAGTTTCAAATTTGTTAGAAAATACAATCATATGTTTGGAATTGGAGAAAAAGTTACCGTCCAAATTTACTATTTTGTATGCTTTATTAAACAGGTAAGGAAGGAAGCACCTATTTATTTTCACCTGTAAGTAGTATAGTTTAACAGGACAATTTCTATTTTATGTTAGAAGATTAATATTTTAAAATTAGATGCCATATTTCTAAACTCAGAGCTTTGACTTAAATGAAATTTCTTAATAAGTGTAAAAGTCTAATAAAAATTACTTACTTAAAATAATTGCTTGAGGAAGACCAAGATTTGTCTCGTACACTGCGGGCAGATAGAAATAGTCTATCTTTAGAAATAGTCTAATTTAGGTAATACTTCTCAGAGATAGAAAAATATGCCACCTTTTACTGCAGTACATTGATTACTACGAGCAAGACCAAACATCATTTAAATATGGAATTTCAAGGCATTAACATTGCCAACCACATTAGTATATTGCAGGAGATAGAGTCAATAGCCGATGCCAAAAACGAACAATAGTAATTTGATTTGAGAGGCAAATAAGACTCAATTATTTGACATCCTGGGACTAATATTAAGTGGCACAACTGACTTAAAGTCAATTATATTCATATTTCTTAGAAGTGGAAACCTACTTCATGTCTTCAGATAAAACTGTCAGAACAAGAAAAGAATCACAGTTTGTAAATATAAAATAAAGAATAATGAGAGAGAAATATTGAACCAAATTCAGGGACAACATAAATGGATAGCATTCCCCAGACATGGATTATGACAGAGCCAGAAAACAGATGTAAGTATAATTTGCTCTAATTTTGGCATTCCCTAAATGTACAGAATGATTGTAACTTACAAACCACATGTGAATAAAGAAAATGAGAGGTATGGGTGGCACAAGCAGCAAGAGAGAAATATCGTTATAAGATTCTTGTTTCCACATTCCTTGATAGCTTCATGCTTTTTACTGCTTATAGATTTTTATACCCTCTCTGGGACAAATTCATCTCAGTGTGCACTGATATTAAGTAGCAATTACTTGGTGTAATCCTGTTTCATCTGTGCAAATTCACACTGGACGTGCTTTTCACATACCTTCCAGTTCATCCTCAGTTCACAATGACTTTTCAGAAGTAATGGTCAGTGGTACAGTAAAATTGTCTCCTAATTCCCTTAATGGCTATCACACTGACTGGACCTGTATATCTACTTAAGTTTCCAGGTATTTGCTTATCTGCTGTTTCTTAATAATGTATTTTTAAAGGGTTTTCTTAGTTTGTAATTTTTCATTTTTATTTAGCTTCAGCTGCTGTCATACCTATATCATTCACTCTTCTTCAACTTTGGAGACCCTCTTAATTGCATTTCTAAACAACAGCTACTAACAAGTCATCTTCCCACTGTTATCCTCTAACATCGGGAGCAAAGTTCATACTCTCATTCCATAGTTAATCTGGCCCAAATCAGCCCACAAAACCAGATATAGGCTCCATGCCAGCCATACACTTCAACCTTGGGAAACTCGCATGCTAAGAGTTACTGATTTACCAAGAGACTTTGTTGGATCTGGGCCATCATCAGTCAAGTAGCTGCATCTGACATAATTGAAGGGTTAAATAACAGCTTCCATTTTCATACAATGAGCTGATAACACTATTGCTCATTAATAGGGGTAAATGTGGAAAACTATCAAAACCAGATGAGGGTAATAAGTTAATAGCCTTTAAAATACGTAAATTAGGGGCCTTGTTGATCGGGACACTTAGTACATGTTACATTTTTTGCGGTATTAAAGTTAGAGCACGTTCTGAGCAGTCAAAGGGTAGTGTTTACTACAATCTCTAACATACACTGCTTGCTGAGTGTTGGTCCCAGCCCCAGGACCACACCAGTCTTGAACCAACTGCGGTGCAGTGCCAGAGCTGGGACTGCCAATCAGCTGATTGTTAGTTGCAGCCCCAGGACTTTCTGGCCCTGGAGGTGTCCAGCTGTCAACTTGATCCTGGAGGAACTTGCAAGTGAAAGATCCAAGATCCTTCCTCCTGATGCGTGGCTTTCCTCATTCTACCTGAAGGCTTGGTACAGCTGAAGGGTCCCTGGCTGATGTCATGACTAGGTGAGGACCAACCAATTGCTCATATTATCTCTATGGAGCAGTCACATTACTTACTATGATTGGGGAATACTCCTCACACAAAAAGTTGCAACTTTACTATCATATGAGCACACTTAGCACATGTTTTACTGCTTGCATTTTAAGTACATTTAATACATGGCCCTAAAACTTTTCTTTTTTGATGGTGAATACAGATGTTTAACTGCATACAGCTATCCATTGATCATATAGGACATGAAGTTATGCACAAAAGGAAATTCTGTTTTTCTTTTCCCATCTGAATGCAAAGTATACAGTTTAACGCAACTGCAAAATCTGGAAGTAGGAATAAACTTGTGTGACTTAAAACAAATCTTTCTTCCATGTAGTTGTGTGTGGCAGGGCACTGTTGGTGCCTGCCACTTTAAGGGCGGGGTCAGGCATCTGCCTGATGGCAGCAGCCATTTTAAGAATCTAGTATATAAAGGCTGTATGTAGTTTGCTGCTACAGCAGAGGTAGAAATATTGCCTATCTGAGTTGCAGCAGGAACAACCAGGAGGTAAGGGCAACAGCTTATGGGGATGGCTAGGAGGCTTTTGGTCCTGGGCGCAAACTAAAACTGCACCCTGCCGGGGATGGGTGGCTTGGTGGGGCTCCTAGTGGCGTGGGAGCCCCAAGGAAATGCCAGGCCAGTTACCACTCTGGTGAAAGACGGGTCAGGGTGCCTCAATAACCCCAGCCCCCACAACTGGGTGGGTTACTCCATAGTTATGGTTGAGAAGGTGCACCCATTAGAGAGAGTGGGCTAGATGCTCAAGAAACCTGACTTGAGGCACCTTCAATTGACCAATGCTGGGGCCAGGTTCAGATGGGTCAAAAGAGCCAGGGGCTCAACACGAGGGACTCCCAGAGCCGAGGGCCTGGGTTTCTGACTGACCTTGGAGGTGAGACCAGGGCCTATGTGGCCAAAGGTCCCGGGGGGCGGGCACACCTGAGAGGGGGAAGAGTACAGGGATCTAGGCAGCCCAGAATGAGGACGGAGTAGGCTGCCTGATAGGAGGCATCCAGTTGGGGTCCAGACGGGAGGATTATGGGGCCCGGTGTGGGGCCGGAGATGCTAAGAATGGTGATACCATCTGCAAGGCATGGGCTACAGTGTAGGGGAGGTCGGAGCTGCAGATGGTGCCCCCTGGTATTGGGGCATGTAATGGGCAGTCTCCCACATTTTACCACCCATTTTGAGAACAGCAAAGTAGTGGCAGGCAAGACTGGGTGCACTGCTCTGTAGAGACAGGTGGGCGGGCCAGCATGAGACCCAGCCCCAAGAGCTGCCCCATCATATTATGAGCTAGGAAGTCTTACCCACTGGGGAGTCGTTTGAAAAAGCATGTTCTTTGCCTTGCGTAAATGTACCAAAACCTTGCTGATATGTAGCATTTATACCTTTTATCACTTTAAGACTGCAGTTCATTTATTCTACTTTAGGGAATAAAAATGTAATGTTTTATAAGCCTGTGGAGGATAGCTCTCCCCTCCACCTTCACAGGCTTTTATTATTTTTAATTCTTCCCTGAGGTTTAAAACAAATCAATGGCTGGCTAAAGACAACATTGCGTTACTTCTTAGTGTTAGGCAGTGTTTTCCCAACGTGTACCAATGATAGCCTCCAAGAAAGTAATCAAGACCACATCTATCCCACACACATATCCCTTATCCCAGTATGAGAGCACACTACATTTATCGCTTTGCTGTTGAAGGGTACTATCAAGAGCTTAGCATACATGAAGACACCCCACAGTATAGGAGACTTACAAACTAACCAGACCAGTGAAAATGTTAATTTTTAACACTCCAGTCAAATAAAAAGTTAGATGTGTATTTTAGTCATTATTGAATCACATCATTTTTAAAATTGTTCTTGTGCTAGTAAAGCTTGACACACATGGAATTGCTAAATAAAATAAAATAAACACTAAAAGAAAGTCTAGGGCTATTTCTTTACTTGGAAACTGACTGCAGAATGATCCATCAGAAAAGATCTGACCTTTCAAACATCTGACTCTAATTATGGCTGTCTGGCAGATCTTTCAAAAACATTCTAGGTATAATACTTACTTTTGAGCTTAACAGGTAGAATTCAGAAACAAGTTTTCAGGTGAAAGAGCAGCTGAAGTTATTGCCCTTGGACTTTAAACCAATTTATTTTGTTTCATCTCTAGTGCTGTAACTTTGATGTAGAAATCTTTCAGCCTTAGCATCCTTTTCTCTTGCTTCTAACTAGATAGTAAGACAAACAGTAATTACTTAGCGGGTAAGAAATAAATTTTGGATTTACTTTATTGAGTTCAACATGTACTGCTGATTCTATCTAAGCTGTAGCGATTGGAGAGAATTCTTCTTATGGTTCTTAATATCTTTTCTGTCCACTGTTAGATTTTTCATAAAGATCTTTATTTGTAATAGAACAGGACTATTTCTAGGTATAAAATGAGACCGGGAGTTTTTATATATAGTACTGCCTTTTAAATTGGCTCATTTTCTTTGTTACGTTGGTTCTAGCTGCTCACCTTCTGAATCATTGCACCTATATAGGCTTGCATTATTCTGGAAAGAAATCCCACCGGGCAGTGATGCCTAGGCTCTGTGCATCCTGGGATTTTTCTCACAAGGAATTTCTTTTTTGGTTGAAAGTTATTATGACATATTGATTTGCAACTACATATAACTTTTCCACTACATTTTAGACTATATTTTGCTAACTGGGAGGGTACACTATATAGACAAGAATCTGAATAAATGCATGCTAATTTTTACTTTAGAACATAATGCATTTTACACATATGAAAATAAGGAA